TGAGAATAGTGTTGCTGGTAATTTGATGGGTATTGCGTTAAATCTATAGAATGCCTTAGGTAAGATGTACATCATCACAATGTTGATTTTTCCATTCCATGAACATGGGATATTTTTTGTGTCATCTTTGATTTCTTTGAGCAGTGTTTTGTAGTTTTCATTGTAAAGGTATTTTGCTTCTCTGGTTAGGAAGATGCCAAGGTATTTCATTTTTTTTGTGGCTATTGTGAATGGGATTGTGCTTTTTATTTGGGTTTCTGTTTGTTTATTATTGGTGTAAAGAAAGCAACTGTCTTTTGCACATCTATTTTATACCCTGAGACTTTGCCAAAGTCCTTTATCAGTGCAAGCAGGTTTTTAATAGATTCTCTTGGGTTTTCAAGGTATACAATCATGTCATCTGCAAAGAGAGATAGATAAGTTGACTTCTTCTTTTCCTATTTGGATACTCCTGATTGCCTTCTCTTTTCTGATTGCTCTAGCCTGGACTTCCAATACTATATTGAGCAGGAGGGGAGAGAGTGGGCATCCTTGTCTTGTTCCAGTTTTCAGTGGAATGGTTCCAATTTCTGTCTGTTTAGGAATATGCTGACTGTGGGTTGCTCCTAGATGGCTTTTGTATATTACTCCTTTGTATCTGCATTATAAATGTTTTTTAAAATTTATTTATCCAATATGAAACATTTTCAGTTTTCATGTAGAAATTTGTGTCTTGGTTAAGGTATATTCTGTCTCTGGAGTGTGTAAATGTAGTTTCTAAGAATTTCTTATAAGATTTTTATTGTAAGTTTTCATTTTTATGTCTTTAATCCATCTGGAATTTATTTTTGTACACGGCATATGATAGCAGTACAATTTTACTTTCTTCCAGATGGATAATTAGTTGTGCTACTCCCATTTTCCTACTCAGAATTATCATCCCTGTCATATTTTAAATTCTCTGTATGCTAGGATTGATTTCTAGATTGTTCTGTGTATTTTGTATATTCCTATCTCAGTACTGTTTTGATTAAAGAGGCTTTGAGTTAGTTCTGATATCTACAAAAGCAAATCTCTTTTTCCTATTTCATACTTTACTTGACTATTCCTACAAATTTAATATTTCATAAAAACCTTAAAATAATTTATCCAGTCTCACCATCACTACTACCACACCACCGCTACTGCCTTGTAAGGTTATGTAGGGATTCTTGTTTGAATTACATTTAATTTACATATCAGTTGAGGATATAAGCTCAATTGTTCAAATATCTTTACATCTACGAATATGATCTGTCTTTCTGTTTTTCAGGTCTGTTGTGTGTGTGGTGGGGGTCTACTCAAAAATTTCAAATCACCTTCATATGGATCTTGTGCCTCTTTTGCTATATTTATTCCTAAGAAATAAGTTAGAATGTTCTTGCTATAGCGAATGGATTTTTTTTTTTTTAATTTCCATTTGAAGGCACTAGTTGCTACAATAGAGAAAACACATTTGATTTTTAAAAATTCTCTATCCAAGCTGGGCATGGTGGCTCATGCCTATAATTCCAGTACTTTGGGAGGTTGAGACAAGAGGATTGCTTGAGCCCAGGAGTTCAAGACCAGCCTGGACAACATAGTGAGACCTTGTTTCTATAAAAAATTCTAAAAATTAGTCCACCATGGTGGCGCATGCCTGTGGTACCAGCACCTTGAGAGGCTTAGACAGAAGAATTACCTGAACCCAGGAATTGGAGGCTGTGGTGAACCATGAACATGCCACTGCACTCCAGCCCGGGTAATGACAGAGTGAGACCCCCAACTCCAAAAAAAAAAAAAAAAATTTTGTATCCATTTTCTTCCTCTTGATATTTTGATTAATCCTCCCAATTTTATACTGTTGTCTTTTGAGATTTTCAGCTATGCCATGATATCAGTAGTAAAAACAATCTTCCCTCTTTTGTGGTGTTTACACAGGCTACTAAATTTTCTTTGTTTTGTTTTTATCTTTGATAGAAGTATTTGAGACAATGTTAAATGATGGTGGTAACTACTAGCACCCCCATCTAATTCCTGATTTTAATTAAAATGATTTAGTTCTTCAGTCTTTTGGATGATATGTTGTTCTTTTTATGGTAAATAATTTTTATTTAAGTGGTTTTCTTACATCTCTGTGTTGGAATTTTTATTAGAAATGTCTGCTGAATTTTATCAATAGCTTTCAGCACTAACTATGATTTTCTTTAATTTGTTGATGGAGTAAATATATGATCTATCAGCATGTGACATACTTCTTGATATTGAACTGCCTACCCTTGACTTCATGGAATAAATTGCTACAGAGCAAGCACCCCTAGAGTCTTTGTTTTCTGGTTTTTGACTAAGAACTCCTCAACCCTGGTCTCTAAGTAGAACTTGTTAGACTCAGGGGAAAGAAAGCCTAAGAAGTCTAATAAGTAATTCACAGGGACTCTTATGGTTTCTTTTACCCCCAGTTGCCTATAATTCTTACTGCAGTTTAGATCTTTTGACTCAAATAAGTTGAAGTAAATCAAATTTGATTCTTGCGAATCAAATAAGTTGGAGCATGAAGGGAAAAGAAAGCACCTTTTGGTTTCTAGCCTCCAGATTCCTCCTCTGCTTCTTTTGGTTACTTTTTTTTTTTTTTACCTTTTCTGTCGGTGGCTCTTTCTGTACTTTTTTTTTTTTTTAGATTGGAAAATATAGTTTTATTTAGAAAGTAAATTAGAGAGAAGATTTACCTCCCTAAGGTAGGGGAGAGGGCCAAATTAAGAAAATTGACCACTATAGCTCAAAGAACACATGGCCTGCTTAACAAAACAATGACCTCTTTCTGTACTGTCTTATTCATTGCTTAGTAGCAAAAATTTACATCAAAACTGCTTCGGCAGATCCTTTCAATAATGAGAAAATAATGAAATAGCAGCCAATTCTGATGTTTTTCTTTTTTTCCATCCAATTGTCCTTGTCTTTCCTGAAATTTATTTGCATTATTTTCTCTAGTGGTTTTCAGCTTCAGTGGTAAGAATCTTTTACCATGAATTGCAGACTTTTAACCAGAACCTAAACTAGTAGTAAGCCCATATAACCAATATTTACATTTCTAATTATTCAAGGAAGCCCTCGAGGCCCAGCCACATTTTGCTAGTCTAGAAAAAATCATTTAATATCAATTATAATGTCATTGTTAAGCAAATTGTTACTTAAAATCTCTCTGGCAGATGTGATAATAGACAAGAATTGAAAAATATTCAATCATAAGAACCTGTCTGTGGGCTGGGCTTGGTGGCTCAGCCTATAATCCCAGCACTTTGGGAGGCCAAGATGAATGGATTGTCATAGCCTGTGGGTTCAAGACCAGCCGGGACAACTTGGCGAGAGACCTCATCTCTACAGTAAATAAAAGAAATTAGTTGAGCATGGTAGCATGCGCCTGTAGTTCCTGCTACTTGGAAAGCTGAGGTGGAAGGATCGCCGGAGTCTAGCAGGCCGATGCTGGGGTATGAGTGTGCTACTATACTCCAGCCTTGGTGACAGAGTGAAACTCCAACTCAAAAAAAAAAACAGAACCTGTCTATGAATACCCAACAATAAAAGGGGATCAACATAGCAAAAACAGTGCTGGTCACAGAGTTAGGAAGCCTGAATACTAGTTTCAGTTCTGCTACTACCTTTTACTTCCTCTTCTCTGAAATGAGGTTGATCTTTTTAAGCTTTGGCATTCTAGAAAATTGGATAGTGTGTTTGAGTCCTGCCCTCCAAAATAGGCCATGATTCCATTGTTTCACAAGTGAGTAGTAGTCTTGCTGTCTTGTTCTACATGAAAATAAATGGTGAGTGGGTGTTACAACTGCATTGTCTCCTTCCATACAGTAATTGATATAGTAGGTCCCTTTAAATTATCATTTGTGAATACACACACACACACACACACACATATATTTAGACAGTTTCACTCCATTGCATAGGCTAGAGTTGCAGTGTTGTAGTCATAAGTCACTGCAGCCTTGAACTCCCGGGACTCAAGCAATCCTCCTGCCCCGTCCTCCCAAGTAGCAGGGACTATAGGCATGTACCACCCTACCTGACTCATTTTTTATTTTTTATTTTTGTAGAGACAGAGTTTCACTATGTTCCCCAGTCTGGTCTTGAACTCCTGGCCTCAACTGATCCTCTCACCTTGGCCTCCCAAAGTGCTAGGATTATAGATGTGTGAGTCACTATGCCCGGCCTTTGAAAATACTTTAAGTCTTGGGGCAACCCCCTCGGGTCCCCTCCTGCTGTGGGAGGTTTTCTGTCCTCTCAATAAATCTTGCTTTCCCCAAAAAAGAAAAGAAAAAGAAAAAGACTTTTTGTTTGTTTGTTTAGTTGGAGTCTCCCTCCATCGCCCTGGTTGGAGTGCACTGGCATGCTCACAGCCACCCCAGCGTTTACCTGCTATTACCATCACTCTGGAAATCCTTCTACCTCAGCCTTCCAAGTAACTGGAACAGGCATGTGCTACCACGCCCAGTTAATTTTTGATTTATTGTAAAGACGAGGTCTTGCCAAATTACCCAGGCATCTTAAGCCTGTGGGCTCTGGCAGTCCACTCGCCTTGGCCTCCCAAAGTGCTGGGATTACAGACTGAGCCACAGAGTCCAGACAAGAAAATATTTTAAGTTTTCATACTTCATCTCTGTGAAATTATTTTCCCTCTAATGAGTTTCTGTGGGTCATACCTGTTTAGGGAGTTTTAAATGTCTTCTGAATTATAAGACTGGATAGTTACTGGTGTTTGATCATAGTAAAATAGCTGTTTGATAGTTTTATATCCACAAATAGGCAATTTCATATACTTCAACTTAATAATTATAGGAGAGGCTGGGTGCCATGGCTCATGCCTGTAATCCCAGCACTTTCGGAGGCTTGGGTAAGAGAATCGCTTGAGTCTAGGAGTTCGAGACTAGTCTGGGCAACATAGTGAGATCTCATCTCTACAAAAATAAAAAAATTAGGTGCAGCTAGTTACCCTAGACATGGAGTCTTATAGCCCAGGTCTTACCCAAGTCAGGAAGCAGGAGTGTTGGGTGCTAGCCATGCGCCTGCTGTCTGTGTACCTGCACATCCTGGTACCCCACCTATCCTCTGCCCTGCACTTATGGAAATCTTCGGGCAAATTTTTTACCTACAAGGAACTGCACATCTTCTACCAAGATGCTGTGGGAGTGGTTGGAATTCCAGAGATAATTGTGTTTTCCAGCATCCAGCTATGATTGGTGTATGATACGGGAAGATCTGACCCTGAGGTTCCAGCGAATGATTGCCCTTGATTTTCCAGGCTTTGGCTTTAGTGACAAACCAAGGCCACATCACTACTCCATTTTTGAGCAGGCACTTTTGTGGCACCTGAGGCTCCAGAACCATAGGGTCAATTACCATAAAGAGTCTCTGTCTGTCAAATGAAGGTATCTTTCCTGAAACTTACCATCCTCTCCTTCTCCAAAAGCTACTCAAGGACAAAGGTGTGCTGTCCCCCTTCCTCACATGGCTGATGAACTTTTTTGTATTCTTTTGAAGTCTCATTCCAGTATTTGGGCTATACACTTGGCCCTCGGAGATTGAGCTTTGGCACATGTGGGCAGAGATTCGCAACAATGATGGGAACCTTGTTATTGACAGTCTCTTACAGTGCATCAGTCAGAGGAAGAAGTTTAGAAGCTCCTGGGTGGGAGCTTTGGCCTCTGTAATTGTTTCCATTCATTTTATTTATGAGCCATTGGATCCTGTAAATCCCTATTCAGAGTTTTTGGAGCTGTACAGGAGTATGCTGCTGCAGTGCACAGTGTTAATTCTGGAAGACCGCATTAGCCACTATCCACAGCTAAAGGACCCCATGGGTTTGTTGAATGCATATATGGGCTTCATCAACTCCTAAACTGGAAAGAGTAGCTTCCCTGTATTACCTTTCCTACTCCCTTTTCTGTGTATTCCACTTTGGAAGAAGTGTCCAAAAGACGTCCTGGCCATCAAACACTATTCTCTCACAAAGTCTACTTTACTAGCTGGTGAACAGTGTATAGGAAAAGGCCAGCAGGAGCTCCGAGTAAGGTTGACCTAAGAGTCCACCTTTCATTCCTTTGACATCTGATCAAGTCTATGAACAACCTTTATTTCTGTGTTATTAGGAAATTCTGATGAGCACTACTATTCACTGATATAGAAAGACAGATTATTTTGCATAAAAGACTTTTAAAACAAACTTGTTTGGACTTTTCTGAAATATTTAGAAGTGATATTTTCTGGCCCAACCCCAACTGGAATTCTACAGTAAGAATGAGGAGAAGGGAGCCTCTTTACCTCTCCTTGAACAGCTTTAAAGCAGAATTATCTTTTGTTTTCTTAGGCATTTGTGTTTTTTTGGTGGGTGGGGGGATTGAGTAGGAGCCTCACTCTGTCGCCCAGGCTGGAGTGCAGTGGCGCACTCATAGCCACCACAGCCTTGACCTGCTGAACTCAGGTGATCCTTCCACCTTGGCCTTCCAAGTAGCTGGAACTACAGGCACATGCCACCATGCTTGGCTGATTTTTTTTTTTTTATTGTAGAGATGAGATCTTGCCAAGTGGTCCAGGCTGGTCTTGAACCTGTGGGCTCAGGAAATCCTCTCACCTTGGCCTCCCAAAGTGCTGGGATTATAGGCATGAGCCACCGCACCCGGCCTGGCATTTGTTGATTATTAAATCAAACATACTTTTTGAATGTCTGTTCTGTGCCAGCCCTGTGCTATGCTTCATGGATGTGTCCCTAAAATAAAATAAACCTGTTTACTCGTTTTGGAGAGTGATACAGTCTAATCGAGGAAATAGGCAATTAATTATAAACAATTACAATAAAGTTGTATGAGAGTTATAGAAGAAAGAATACATATGTTGCTATACTGCAGATGACTTGAAGGATGTCTCATCTAAGTGTTCTTAAAGGTCTCTTGTTCAGAAATTATCCAGGTGGTAGATAGTTGGAATGATGTAGGCTACTGCGTGGCAGGTGTGGTGTTAAGAGTCAGAGGGAACATCATGTAAACAAGAGTTGGAAAAAGCTTGGCAATTTTTTTAGAGTGTGAGTAGAAATAAGACTGGAGAGGTGGGTAGGGGCCAGATCTTTGAAAGCCTCATAAGGCATATTTGAGATTTGGGGCAATAGGAAGTCACTGAAGATTTTAAGCAGGCAAGTTATATGTTCATGGTTGGAAGGTAGTAGGCAAAGTGGTTTAGAGTGTCCATCTAAAAACAGATTGCCTTGATTCAAATCCTCGTAGAACTAGGATTTTAATTCTAACCATTGGAATTGAAAATGTAATATCTCTAGACTTTGGCTTCCTTATCTATAAAATGAAATAATAAATAGTACCTTATTTGGAGATTTGTTAGAATTAACTTAGAATGTGTGAAGATAGTACAATTCATAGTCCATACTAAGTATAAATAATGACTTAGTTATTTTATTATTTGTATTATCATTATTACTTTTAGAAATTGGAAAACTAAAAAAAAAAAAGATAAGTGTGGTTGCTTAGGTTAGAATGGAGTAAGAATAATTGCAGCAAAACCTTTAATAATTTAGGCGAGATAGTTGTGACTTGGATTGGGTTAGTGGCAGAGGGATAGAGAAAGAGATGCTATTTTAGAAAATTTCATTGGTAGAATCTTTGACACTTAATTGGTGTGGGAGTTGAGAGAGAGGGAAGAATAAAAGATGAGGCAAAGTACCTCAAATTGTTTTTGGAATGACAGTTATTTAAGTAAATCCGTGTCAGCTATATGAAAATAACATGTTAATCAATGTTTAAAGCTCATTTTTACCAAGTAATAAGTGATAATGTCCAGAGGTAAACATTATGAATCCAAAGAACTGAGATTGATCCTTTATCTTCTTATAGTATTTAAACTTTTATATAAGTTGGGAGAGAATAAATATAATTTGAACAGTCTTCATACTTTTTTTTTTTATCATGTTTCTTTCTTTTTCTGCTTTTTTTCCCAGTCATTTATTTTCAGTTGTTATTTTGGCTTTTTTAAAAGTTATTTTAATTGTATTAGATTGAACCATGTAGAAGTTGACATGTTTGCAGATCTGAAAATATTTAACTGGAAACAAAATGGTTAAACATTGGCAAATCTATAAATTATACTCTGGTTCTGTAATAATTTTGAACTTGGGCTATGAGGGTCCATTTCGAATTAGATTGAGTACCAAAGACTGCTTGAAGGAATCTTGTTCTGATGGCATAAGAACAAAAAGAACAAAGCCCTACGAGTAAGCAACTTCAACTCAGCATTTTTTTCCCCCAAATTAATATGGCTCTGGGAAGACATCTTGTGACCAGATTTTTTTGTTAGCCTTACCAACAACTTTATTTTGGTCTTCCCCCTTTATAAAAATAGTATATAGAAATTGAGAAATTCAGAAAATATAGGAAGCTGTAATGAAAAAAAATTTTTAAATGACTGTTAACCCCACCATTAAATAAGTAGAGTTGATTTTTAATGTATTTTCTTTCAGTCATATATTTACAGAAATGGTTACTGTGTCTTCAAAAATAAGAGAATATATTATGTGACTGCATTATTTTAATTGACATATAATCCTGCGCCTTTGGGAGGCTGAGGTGAGTGAATTGCCTGAGCCCGCGGGTTTGAGACCCACCTGGGCAACTTGGTGAGACCTTATCTCTACAATAAAAAAATCAAAATGAGTCAGGCATGATAGCGTGTGCCTGTAGTTCCAGCTACTTGGAAGGCTGAGGCGGAAGGATTGCCGGAGCCCGCTCCCGGCCACTGCACTCCAGTCTGGGTGACAGAGTGAGACTCCAACTCAAAAAAATAATAATAATAATAATTGTACATATTTATGAGGTACATGGTGATGTTTTGCTATACATAATGTATAGTGATCAAATCAGGGTAATTAGCATATCCATCATCTCAAACATTTATTATTTTTCTTTGTGTTGGGAACATTGAATAACCTTCTTCTAGCTATGTGAAACTATTGTTAACTATAGTCATCCTATGGTGGTATAGAACCCTAGACCGAGACTGCGTTATTTTAAAGAGGAAGTATATAGATAGATTTTTGTGAGGATTTTTATGAGGATACTGCCTCCCCTAAGTCGTCAATAATTAGTTTCTTTTTAAGAAAATGTTTTTCTTTAATCCAAAACAAAACATTTAATTCCTGACTGATTTGATTAAATGTGACTGTCAGGATTTTGTTTGTTTGTTTTTATGTTTTCTCAATGAATATTTTTATTGTAGTTCCTAGAGTGGTTTTGCTAAAATAGAAACAAAGTTGAAGGAACTATTATTGTACTAATGATAGTAATACCTTATAGTTTTATTGCAATTTTTTTTTTTTTTTTTTTGAGTTGGAGTCTCACTCTGTCGCCCAGACTGGAGTGCAGTGGCTGCTCCCGGCCACCGCAGCCTCGACCTGCTGGGCTCCTGTGATCCTTCCGCCTCAGGCTTCTGAGTAGCTGGAATTACAGGCACGCGCTACCACGCCCAGCTGATTTTTTAATTTATTGTAGAGATGAGGTCTCGCTGCCCAGGCGGGTCTCGAACCCGCGGGCTCAGGCAATCCACTCACCTCAGCCTCCCAAAGGTGCGAGAGTACAGGCTGAGCCACCAAGCCCGGCTACCTGCAATTTTATAGTATTTGTAATTTCTTCAAATTGTCAGCCGGTGTGATATATGTTTTTATCAGCATAGCTGTCTACTTTTGTACATGAGAAAACTGAGATGTAGAGAGATTCAGTTACATGACCAAATTCACAAGTAGTAGTAGAAAAGTCTGGACTTCGGATTTTAGTGAATACTTTTTCCATTTATTGAAATAGAGTAGTAACTCTCAGAAATCATTCCTTTATTCAGCATTTATTAAACACTTAAACAGATGGGGTTCAAAAATAGTCTATGGCAAGTGTATAGAATGATGAGTAATCTGATTTGTCTGGAGGACAAAGTAGAATAGTGAGATAAGATAGGAAAGGCAATAAGGGAGCCATCGACTCTTTTTAAACAGTGGAGTACAATAATCAAATGTCTGCTTTAGGATATTAAATTACACAGAAATGAATAAATTAGAAAAATGAGCAAAACTAGAAGTCCAGATGATAATTAATTCTAGCCTAAGGTAAAGTATTAAAAACTGAAAGGAGGAAATGAATTTGAGAACTGTTGTAGAAATAGATTTCTAGGACTTAGTGACTAAGAACAGTGTATTGAGGGAGACAGAGGGAGGTCAAGCTGACTTCCTAAGTTTCTTACTGGAGTGCCTAGGAAAATGCTGGAAAAAATAACAGGGGCCTATTTGGTAGGAAAAATGTATTTGATTTTGAATGCTGTGGTTGAAGTCTCTGCAGGACGTCCAGATGGAAGATACTTGACTGGCAGGCAAGAGGGATGGAAAAGGGAGCTCAGGACTGAAGTTAGAGCTGGAGACCTAGGCAGAGAAATTATTTGTGGTGAGGGAATAATTGGTACCGTATTATCATTCCTGCTTTCCAGGTACCTTTACTGCTTTGCATATGCATAAACCTCGATGTATTGGGGTAATGTATGACAGCATTGTGTCCAGATAACTGTTGTGTGCCTTAGAACTGTACAGATCACAGTAAGAGATGGCACTTCAGGATTCAGAGGAGCCCACCCTCAAGCAATGCAGTGTGATTGGAGGGGAAACATCGGCTCTTTAGGAAGTCTGTTTTAGCTGTACGAGCAGAAAGTGAGTAGAGTTATATACCCCCCTATGTGGGTAAACCTTTTGTATATACTGTATTTCTTAGCAGCCCTGTGAAATAGGGAGTATTATCCTCAATTTACAAATGAAGAAACAGAGGCTAAGAAAGGCTAAGTAATATTAGAGCAAGAATTTGAACCAGATGGTGTTCCTTCAGTGCTGTTGGTCTTTTTACTATGCCACATTTTGCTGTGTTTTCCAGTAAGACCTGTCATATATTGCCATCAGACTTATCCTCAAGTAGGTTTCTGAGTTCCTTGTGTTATAAAGACAGTGCTTCAGATTTAAAATGTAATTCATTGAATTCTGATTATGGGTGACCAGCTGCTCACAATAGTGAAATAGTGAATAAAAAATGAAAGTTGGATTACATGTATGTTTTCGCTCAGATGTGCAGACTTCCTGGAATGCTTTCAAATGCCAACATTTATTTATTTATTATTCTGTTGGGCATGTGGAACTTTATTTAGAGGATGAACTGAAAGTTCAAAGATATCTGGAGGAAAAGGTACTGAAATTACACATTTTGATAGCATCCCACTCCCAGTTAGCTGAAAATTGTTATAATTTATAACATTACCAGAAAGAGCACAATATCCCAGTTTGCATTGTTTTAAATAGGCAGAAACAAAATTGTTTATTCTGAGATGCAAAGGCTTATTTGAATGTACCGTGAAATTTTCTGTAATTTCTAAGCTAGAGTGAAAGTAGGGACATTTACTTTTCTATATTTTGTTTGTATATTTGTATACTGCTTCTCAACAAACTAGAAGCAAGAAATGGCATCTCAGAACTGTAGAATAATGTCAAGTAAAGGAACAGTGTTAGCCGGGCTCTGTGGCTCAGCCTGTAATCCCGCACCTTTGGGAGGCTGAGGTGAGTGGATTGCCTGAGCCCGCAGGTTCGAGACCCGCCTGGGCAGCGAGACCTCATCTCTACAATAAATCAAAAAATCAACCGGGTGTGGTAGCGCATGCCTGTAACTCTAGCTACTCGGAAGGCTGAGGCAGAAGGATCGCCGGAGCCCAGCAGGTCGAGGCTGCAGTGGCCGGGAGCAGCCACTGCACTCCAGTCTGGGCAACAGAGTGAGACTACAACTCAAAAAATAATAATAATAATAATAATAAAAAAGGAACAGTGTTATTTCTATGTATGTGCTACTTCTGCAGTTTTCAGAATGGACAATGTTTTCTTTATTTTATCTTGAAAAACTGATTTTAAAGTTTCTTAATGTTGGCAAATATCCAGTGAATCATGAGAGAGAACATTATTGATGAATATTTAGCCTTTTAGCTAGACCTTCCTGTGCAGTTGAATTGTGATTTTCAGTTGCTATGCACTGTTACCACATTTCCTTTCTTTAATACGGTTCTTTGTTCACTGGGAAAGTGCCGCAAGAAAATAGGAAATTCCCCTTACCATTACCCCTCTGGCACTGCGCTTCAGTCTAATTCTTGAAGCTCTGTCTTTGCAGTCTGAATTCTGCTTTTCTGTTAAAAGGGGGATTCCAGACAGACGAGGAAACAGCTTTCAAATGCTGCTCTGCAGGCATACTAAGTCATTCTCCTACTGTACAGTCTGGAAATCGGGGAGTATCTCTTTGGCTATGAACTCTAATGAGTTGCTAAAGAAGCCAGAGTATGCGCTTGCACATGCGTTTTCTTTCCCCTCCCTTTTTTCTTCGTTTTCCCAAGCCCCCTCTTCTCCCTCTTTCCCCTCCTACTCCTTTATCCCCTCCCTCTGTGTCTCAGTTCTGCAGTACACAGGGCTGAAGCACATTCCTGCTTTGCAAGGCTTTCTGTTGGATGTATTGTGGCTTTTGTTTGGATTGCCGCATGCAGAATTACAGGTAACATTCTGAAATTGAGCTGAACAGATACATTCTATTGAGATATTTTCAAAGAGGCAAAATAATACATTGGAACTGATGAAGAAAATAAGTTATGTTGGCTGATTTTATTAGTGGTAATTGTAGTCAGATGTTTTCAGAAATATTATAAGCAAATTCCTTTTCTCTTCCAAAAGGCTCAAATGGAAGGACATGGGAGTAGATTGATCTGACTGCGATTTACTTTGTTTTATGTTGATCTTGATTGTTTGATGATGTTGCTGCTGCTTTGTAGAGTAAGGACCAATTATATGGGGTGCTACTAAGGGCAGCCATGAATAGCACCAGGAGGGGTGGAGTGGGAGGGATGATGCCAGCCTGAGCTAGCCAGGTTCTTTGATTAAGGCATTGAATATGAAATGTAAAATGCTCTCTCCTTTTCTTCTATCAGCCGTTCAGAGGAGACTCATTACAACTCCTGCTGAAGCTCCTAATCTTCTTCCCTTCTCTTCTGCCCTTTCCCCTTACCCTCACTTGGCCTGAAGACGTTGTCCCCAGAGTTTTGCCTTACTCCCTTGGTGCTATGTGTATGGTGAACCTGGCACTATGGCCACATCTGGGACTGGCCAGACAACTGCTGCTGGCTCTCTATTTCAAGAAGGATTTAAAGGGGAATTGCACTGCAGGGAATGCACCAGAGCAGCAGCATCGGGAGCTTGAGGACTAAGGCTCCTCTGGCATTATTACACACATGCAAAGCTGACCGCAATGACAACAGCTGCTCCTTTGAACTGTTGGCAGCAGCCAAGCGGCAGCATGAAGTGATACATCACTCCTGAGCTCAAGATGAACTCCACCTTGGATGGTAATCAGAGCAGCCACCCCTTTTGCCTCTTGGCATTTGGCTATTTGGAAACTATCAATTTTTGCCTTTTGGAAGTGCTGATTATTGTCTTTCTAACTGTATTGATTATTTCTGGCAACATCATTGTGATTTTTGTATTTCACTGTGCACCTTTGTTGAACCATCACACTACAAGTTATTTTATCCAGACTATGGCGTATGCTGACCTTTTTGTTGGGGTGAGCTGCCTGGTCCCTTCTTTATCACTCCTCCACTACCCTCTTCCAGTAGAGGAGTCTTTGACTTGCCAGCTATTTGGTTTTGTAGTATCAGTTCTGAAGAGTGTCTCCATGGCTTCTCTGGCCTGTATCAGCATCGATAGATACATTGCCATTACTAAACCTTTAACCTATAATAGTCTGGTTACGCCCTGGAGACTTCGCCTGTGTATTTTCCTGATTTGGCTATACTCAACCCTGGTCTTTCTGCCTTCCTTTTTCCACTGGGGAAAACCTGGATATCACGGAGATGTGTTTCAGTGGTGTGCGGAATCCTGGCACACCGACCCTTATTTCACCCTGTTGATCGTGATGATGTTATATGCCCCAGCAGCCCTTATTGTCTGCTTCACCTATTACAACATCTTCCGCATCTGCCAACAGCACACAAAGGAAATCAGCGAAAGGCAAGCCCGCTTCAGCAGCCAGAGTGGGGAGACTGGGGAAGTGCAGGCCTGTCCTGATAAGCGCTATGCCATGGTCCTGTTCCGAATCACTAGCGTATTTTACATCCTTTGGTTGCCATATATCATCTACTTCTTGTTGGAAAGTTCTACTGGCCACACCAACCGCTTCGCATCCTTCTTGACCACCTGGCTTGCTATTAGTAACAGTTTCTGCAACTGTGTCATTTATAGTCTCTCCAACAGTGTCTTCCAAAGGGGACTAAAGCGCCTTTCAGGGGCTATGTGTACTTCCTGTGCAAGTCAGACCACTGCAAAGGACCCTTACACAGTTAGGAGAAAAGGCCCTCTTAATGGATGTCATGTCTGAAGTGACTCAGATACTGGGTCACTCTGTGTGTATGCATTTTTTCCTTTTTATCTCTAAGTATTCCTAGTGAACTAGGAAATCTGGAACAAAATAATCTGACTCTAAGCACTAGCAAACAAATGATCCATCCAAGAACCTTTTAAGTTTGCAGGAATTATTTTCAAAAGTGCTTTTGAATTAGAAGACTTAAGATCATGAAGATAAGTTGCTCTTGGTTTCAGTTTTTGGAATGTCATGGAAATGACTACAATTCTCAGATTTAAAATGAATAAAGCCATATCTAACACCTCTCTACAGCTGGCATGACTGAACCTGGGTGTGAAAAGTGTCAGCATTTTAAAAAGTCATCATTATCTTGTCACTTTCTAGATTCTTTTCAGCTACTTGGGCATCATGTGCAATTGATTTCTTTTAACAGGGAATATTAAAATATAGTGTTGAATTAAGAGATTTTAAAAAAGTTTTATGTATAGCAAAGTTTACACTATAAGTTTCAACAGTGTCATTTAGAAAGCCAAATGTTTTATGTCTTATCACAAGATAATTCCCAACAGGATAAATAATGTGAACTTTTAGCCGGGCTCGGTGGCTCAGCCTGCAATCCTGCACTTTGGGAGGCTGAGGTGAGTGGATTGCCTGAGCCCGCGGGTTCGAGACCCGCCTGGGCAACTTGGCGAGACCTCATCTCTACAATAAATTAAAAAATCAGCTGGGTATGGTAGCGCGTGCCTGTAATTCTAGCTACTCGGAAGGCTGAGGCAGAAGGATCGTTACAATAAATCATGAAGCAAAAGTATAAATGATACAGTTTATGAAAAATTGAGCTATTTCTTGTATGATGCTTCACAGAGATCTAAAGATATATGTGCATGGAAGTGATTGTATTGTGGTAATTTTGCCCATGCCTTTGTATATGTGAATGCTGAGACTATTTGAATTGAGTTAGATTTCTCTTTCACAGCAGAATGTGTTTAAGTAAGATAAAACATAATTTAATGATAGGCTGATGGCTTTCAGTTTTATAATGGTGAATATATACAAAACTTTGTCTTTAATGTTCACCATTCTTTTTATCCAAAGACTTTTGAAACATCAAGAGAAGGGTGTCATAGGCAACTGAGGCAGAATATGTACTGAAGTATACTAATTTTTTCTTATAAAATAGAAGGGAGTTGAGACATTTTCTTTGTGGTTAAATAGAATCAACTAATATAGTAGCAACTAATTTTCTTTGAAAAGCTTTCTTTCAGTTATTGTTAAGGAATCCACATGTGAAGGAAAGGGGAAATTCTAATCTACATCCCTTATTCTCATTCTGGAATAAAATCCTTTGGCATATAGTTCTTAAGGGGGTGTGTGTGTGTGTGTGTGTGTGTGTGTGTGTGTGTGTGTGTGTGTTTGGGGAGGTTGCCAAGTACTAGCACAATCTGTAGAATTTTATTGTTCTGTAGAATTATTATTGAGAGTATATGTTTGTAATATAGTAGTGATGTTTTGTTCTTAAAGGTGATTGTCTTTAGAGCATGAGGCTTATTTTTCTAAAAGGAGAGAAGTGTTTCTGCCAGCTCCAGGCACAAGAGTATTTCCTCTACTTTTCTACTGGTTTTATTGTTTTGGAAATCTTCAGGGAACTTATTTGATCTCTGCCTTTGGCTAGATGTTGTAATCTGAATGTGACAGTGGTGTTCAGTGAAATGGAAGATGGAAGAAACCCAAGGGACAAGGGTTAAAGTCGATTTCTGAATCCAAGAAAGGACACAGATATTTATAAAGCAGGCAGATAAGCTTTGGCTTTCCATAATGATGCCAGTGTTCTTATGATTTTAAGTTTTAGACATCAACTTAATTTTAGCCTCAAGTTGTTCCATTTAAACTTTTTTATTTAAAGTGACTAAGCATTATGTAAACATTCAAACTTCAGATTCTGGGTTCTTTCCAAAAGCTTGCTTGCTCTTTATAGTTAATGTTAGCAAATTTTATTCTAAGCCATTTCAAAATTTAGAACTTAAACTGAAATTGCAAGTTTGTTAGAAATGTCTTGGTTAAATTGCTATTTCAAGTGGAAAACCTTTTCTGTTGGAATCTAAAAACAGTTGTGCACATTTCCCCTTTAAGTGGTACAGATCTGAAAACACAAATTTGCCTTTTCTCATGTATGTTAGATCATGTAACCTGTTAGCATTTGCAGTTTGTTTATAAATTTTTAATTCAGCACAAATGGAAATCTTAAAAATCTAATTTTTATGGAAAAATTGATGTCAAATACGTAGTTTTTACACTCTCTGGGAGCTGAGCCCTTTTAATTTTGTTCTCCAATAAGGTTCCATCTTATGATAATGGAAAAGAGGAAATATCCTTTTACGTTTTCTGATAAAGACTAATTAAGCTGACCTTTTAATGACTGCAAAGAGTTTTTTTTAAATAAAATCTTTTGTTAATAGATGTTTACATTCTTTTCCTTAATACCAAATTTGGGGTTTATTAGAGGCATTTTTTTTCATACTAGAATCTCTATTAATGTCTCCACCAAAACTAAAGTAGAAACTAAATAGATGTAGTAATTTTAAAAAGACTAAAGACACACCCCCAACTGATACTTAGGTGTCTTTTCGTTATCTTTGTCTTATCTTTATCGTGCTAAGGTTTCTTCCAGGTATCAGTTCTGTTTTTCTCACATTCATTGTCTATCCTGGCTGTACTAAGCAAAATATTATTTTGGAGTGTATGTGTGTGTTGGGGCAAAGAGGAGGATGTACCTGGACACAGTCATACTGTGACTGGAGGCATTTTCTGTGTGATACATTTGGAGAGTTGATGTTTAGCTAGCATATTTAATACAACATTTGATGACATTTGGTTTAAACACCAATCTGAGTAGTTCATAATTAGGAAAAAGTATATTTTTAGACTCAATTACCTTGACTTTGATAAGATAACTGATTTAACTTTGTATGGTATGTGACTGGTATTAGAGGAAGCCTATGGTTTTTGGTGAATGTGTCAAAATTATTATATAGTAAATGTTAAAATAAGATACTAATTGTTACATTTGTAAATTAGTTATGTTGTGTTTTTAATGCAGTGATTTCAATAAAGATGAGTCCCCCCCCCCCTTAGAGTAGAAAAGAGGTTACAAATGGACTAGTGTGTACCATTTGAGTTGGAACGTTGTGTTACAATAGAATGGATATTTGAGGTTTTCATGAACCTGTTAACTTGTATCCAAAATTCCATTTTGAAAAAGGCTTTCTTTAAGCTTTATTGCTGGATAAATTATTTTCAAGCCTTTTACAATGGCTTTTTCTTTTTACTTGAATAACAGTCTCAGTATTTTAAGGATTAGGAAAACTTGAACTTTTGTACTATAAATTTATTGTCCACTTCTTTGAACCTGAGAATAAAGTAACAGGGTTACAGACTCCCAGATGGTGGAGTGGTTTCTGGGAGGGTTTCTTCAGCTTTTTAGGTTTGTTTGAAAAATCTCTACAGTGACTTAGGAAATGTCTTTATTTCACTGACTCTGTTTTTGTATCATAAGTGATTTATGAAATAAATTATTGGCAAACCAGAATTTATTGTTATTTGAGCAGATTTTGGGAAGTTTAAGGATAAGAGAATCATAGTACTATGATATTTTTAAAACGTCTTCCTAAATCATTTTATGTGTTGATTTTTGTATAATGTTTCTGTTTCAGTTGGGGAAAAAGCTAGATATAAGTATTTGTATTAAATTTATGTATTCTTAGTATTATTTTGCAGACCTTGAAAATACTGTAGCTATTAGGCTATAAATGAATCATTTGACTTTTCTTCAAAATTTGACAAAAGGGCAGCATGATATAAGATAACAATGAACTTTGAACTGAGAATGAAAAAAATGTAGATTTCTGTTCCTAATTGGTTTTATAAATTACGATAAGTTGCTTTTCTAAGCACTTAATTTCTTCTATAAAAGGAGATAATGATCCCTTCATACCTCATAGGGTTACTTTGAGGATTGAATGGATGTGAAAGTACTTGGAAGTTGTAGAGTGCTTTGCAAAGAAAAATGATTACTATTATTTGTATCTGCCATGATTTTACATGTAAGGAAACCATACATCATGATGTGTTCCCCCACATTTAGATCTTTGAAACTTAAGGCCAGGTCACTACCCCATGCTACTGAGCAATCCTAGACCTGAGAAGAGAGACAAGATACACCCTCACATTTCTGAAATGACCGTAGCCTTAAATTTAACATAAAACTGCTTTTATTTACTTCTTTTATTTGTCTGCAAACTCTCTGAAGGCAAGGAACCGTGTCTCTTAATATCTAACATATGACCTGACTCAGAGCAGAAGTTTTAGTATATTTTATGAAATTAGTAAATGACTAATACCCTGGAATTAGTGTGGGAATGTGAGTCCTCTATATGCTTAGGTAATGTTACACCCAGAAATCCTGTAACCTTGGCCCAGAGATCTTCAGGCAGTGCTTTCAAACTGCCAACTTCTCACAGCATGGATAAGAAATATATAGTTGGACCACACCTTCTTGGCTCTGGATCCCAATAAGGGAGACTGTAAAATCAGACACAAGGGAAGAAGCACTATAGAAGCCTGGGTGAAAGAAACTGTTGTATGTGATTTTGCTTTGTCTCCCTTTCAGTCTTTACCAGTTTTCTAGCTCTGTCTTCCCTTCCTTCTTTTTCTTAACACACTATTGGTCATGTTTCCTGAAGGAAGTATTTCCTTGTTACTGTCATAAGGTATGAAAAATTGTATTATGCAGTGGCTTTTAGGGAAAGTTTATGAAGCACTTATCTAGGACCAAGCTGTGCTGTATGCCAGGTAGCATAGCTAGCCTCAGAGAGGGATCTAAGGAAGTATCATCCCTTTCTTACAGAACTTTATATGTCTTTTGATGTTCCTGTGGAAAAATTCTGTGATTATAGCCTCACTGTTCTGCACTTTATTTGGAGGCACTTACCAAGGCTTCCTGAGGGGACATCCAGCATGTCTGTTTCTTGGGGTGAGATAACATGATGCTGGTGTATAAAATCAGAATGTCACTTTATTAGTTTAAAATAAGAAATAGGTTCTGGTGAATAGTTTTTCCTATTGGTAGATCTTTGTAAGAGACCAAATCATATTCAGAAGATTGCTTGGTAAATACGGAATCCCAGAACATGGTTCTGTAATGTGAACATTGCTGATATCAGACTGAGTCCCATGTTCAGTCCCCCCAGTTGGGAAAGCTTTGTCATTGGGATCATAATAAATTATGAATCATCCCTGTTCGCAGTACTGGTCAGTACTATATACTGGTCAGTACTATCTATATATTATAGTATTTCCTTAGTTTAACTTCTTCTGTTAATTGTCTTTTAGTCAAAATCTTTGTGAGTAGTCTTCAAGTCTACAGCTTACTCTTTTTCTTTTAGGTGTTTTTATATCACTGGTTTTATCTTTTATGCAACACAGTAGTTTAATGATTTATTATTCAAAAGGCATCCTTATTCCTTTATGTTAGCTTGAAAAGCAACTCATCTTGGTTTTCATGTTGTGTCTAGTTGGAAAAGCAAGATATGTGAAAATACTTCTAAACATTTATAGTATCAGTCAGATAATTAGAGTTGAGATATTAACTACATAGATTGTCAGTCCATGTCTAGCAAAGGAGGCAGGGAGGGGCAGTTATGTTGGAAAGGACCTTAGAAATCTTTTGGTCTGATTCTGTCGTTTTACAGACAAGAAGCCATCCCAGTGGCCACTGGGAAATCTACTTAAAATTATACTGAGGTCTCCTACTTCCTAATTCATTGCCCTTTTCTAGTATACCATGTTGCTTTTGTGGAAGAGTTGGATTTGGCTTAATTCAGCCATAGCCTGGGGTGTGTGCATGTGTACTCATGTATAATTCTAGGCATAGGAAGCATGAGCAACAATGTAAATGTTAATTGAGGCTCATTATGTTTCAGTATAATTTTATAAACTTATTTTTTTAATCCATCCAATATTATATGAGCTAACGACTATTATTAATTCCATTATACAGATAAGGAAACTGAGATTTAGAGTTGCCAGATTCAAACCCAGGATTTTCTTACCCCAAAACCTACATTTAATTTTCACATCATCCTATCAAGTAGTTATCTTTAATTTCCCTGACTTGCAGGTGAGAAAACTTAGGCTTAGAGAGGTTAAGAAACTTCCAAGGTTATACATATAGTAAGTGTTATGATTCAAATCTAGTTCTTTGACTCTAAAGCTTCTGTTCTACCATTATATAAACTTAGGCTTGAAAAAACATATGATAGACCTCTTGCTAAATATAGCAGATTGAATATACATATTTCTGTTAACTCCACTATAAAGAATAGCAAAAATATAATACATGTGGACAAAGAGAGAGCAGAAGTGATGGCAGATGAATGATGCCAACAGAATTTTAGACTATGGAAAGCGAATAGGCAAATGGTAACTGATTCAGCTGAATCAACAGAGTCCAGGGATAGAGGGCAAAAAGAAGCAAGCTGATTTGTCCACAGAACCAGTAACTACTTGAGAGTGGGATTCCCAGTGCTCCTGCAAGCATAGAGTAGTGTAAAGCTGAAAACAAATGAGGTGATAGAAATGTTGTGTTTTTTTTTTAATTACTTTTTGTTGAAAACTGCACTGAACGCTAAATGTCCACCTTTACAATAAACAAATACAGTAATGGTAACTCACACTAAAACAAAACATACTTCTGATAGCCATTGTTTTTTCTGTTTGGGACAGTTTTAAAGTTTTTCTTTTGTCACAAAAACAGGAATGTACCTATACAAAGGCTCAAAATAGGCCATCTTTTTAAACAGAAAGGCAGTGATTCACAAAAAACTATGAATAGAACGTGTAACTAGTTGATACAAATCTAATAGGATTAGCTTTGTCACATCTAATACATCTGAAGTGTTCTTGTATAAAATATCACGTGAAGAAAAGAAGACTTTATCAATGTCTAAAAAAGTGGGTTTGTTCATAGACAATCTGACAAGTTACCATAAAAAGTGTTTCCTGAGACATAGGGAAATGCAACATTATTCTTCTTGAACCCCTTTAGTTCAAGACTTTCCACTCAATAAAATAGCAGAGGATCTGAAACTGAGAAAATATATTTGAGTACAAACAGCTTGTGAAACTTAATACTTTCTTTTTTTTCTTTTCTTTTCTTTTTTTTTTTTTGCATCATCAGAGGGTTTTACTGAACTTAACAACCAACTTGCCTGCTCAGTATGCAGTTCAGATGTGAGAGACACTTCTCTGTACAGGAACCTCACTGTCTTCAATCCTATGTGTGCAGATGTCTAACACAGGCAAACAGTTTTCTCCCCATTTTGTAGTAATGTAATCTTCCTATTAGCAAAAAGAAGTAACCAGCCCCTGTAGACTGAAGGGATTAGAGTCATAGGATGGGGATTTCATCTTAACATTTTTTATTTTGGTGTTTGGAACTCTTGATGCAACATTCTAGAGCAGGGTGAGCAGCACCTGCTGTGCCCAAGGGACTGATAAAGGAAAAAGCTCTATTTATTCTTTGTGATTTGATGCACAGATGAAAAACTTAACACACAATAACAGTGTAGTGGCCAAAAGTTCATTCCGAGAGACCACCAAGAGCCAATTCCGATGAAAGTTCAAGAGGGTCTTTATTTACAAGTCGAGCCTGGGCCTCTGTCGACAGCCGACACAGCGGAGTGCATTCAGAGGCCCTGATTTCCTTAAGCAGATGCCTTTTATGCTTTTACACAAAGGGAGGAGGAGTTTGGGGGTGCTTTCCAGTTGTGTTACCATTTAATTGGGTAGTAACCTCTGGTGGTCAGCTTAATCGTGGAGGATTGGCTAGCCTGACTCGGGCTGACCTTGGTCCACTAGCTAGGGAAGTTGCAGAGACATCTGGAAACTTAGGTAATTACCCCCTGGCACCTGATTGGATGTTGCTAAGGGGAAAGTGAGATAAGGGAAGGGGTTGAAGCTTTGCAGTTTTTCCCATAGCTGGAACTTTAAACAGTTACAAGTTATGTTTTAAGACAGAAAACTAAAAATGGCTGTGCTGTTGTCCACAAGCTGATTACATATTTATTGGGTTATAGCATGCTCTTAACCTAAGTCTATGGTATACTTTATTACGGTCCTCTCAACAGAAGTTGGTCGTTAATAAATCACATCCTAGTCTTTCAGCGCTTCCGTAAGCAGACGACATCTTCAGTTTTCTAGCTCTTGTAGTTTTAACACTGCAACATCAATGATGCATATGTCTAGAATCAGATAAAAAGACTGTCAAATTCTTTTTCTCTTAGTAGTCTATTTTTCTTTCACTGTCTCTTGGTCCCAAGTTTATCTGAATGATTGATTACCTTCTGGCAATCTCTGCTATTGCTCATTGGGGTGCTCTCGATTGTCCCCGTGTTTTGTGGGCTGGTTGGGAGAGGGAGCTTGGGAAGGGTGTGCCACTGTAGGGAGATTGTGAGTCACTGGGGTGCCTCCAGGGATGATCCCTTCCACGGCTGCAGGAAGTCCTCCCGGAGCCACGCCCACAATGCCTGGCGGATATCTCTACTTGGCACCATTGAGCTCGGGATGAATTGCTTGCTGGTCTATTACTGACCAAGGAGCTGAAGTGACAAAGGATTCCTTGTTCACGGTTTCTTAAGCTTTCTGGGATGCGACCTGTGATTGCTCGGCGGATCTCAGTGGCGGCTGCTTCCCTCATCTCTAGTGACGCTTGCTCACTAAACCAGGCTGGCTGTGTGGGGCGTGCAGATGAGATTCGGTGCATCTTTCAGTGGACCTTCAGCAAAGCTAAAGGGCTCTGACTCGTGCACGTCGAGGGCTGCCCCTCGTATCCTGCCCTCCTTGAGGGCCTGGGCTAAGGCTTTCTTGTCCACCAGGCCACCTCGGGCTGCATTCACCAAGAATGCCCCTTGCCTCATCTGCTTTATGGTAAAGTCATTGATGAGGTGGTGGTTATGTTCGTTGAGATTGCAGTGCAAGGAGACGCAGTCGCTCTGATACAGCAAGTCCTGCAGGGTGTAGACCCTCTGCACGCCCAGGGACCGCTCTATCCCATCCTGCAAGTAGGGGTCATAAAATATGACGCTGAATCCAAAGGCCTTGACTCGAACAGCAACCGCCTGCCCCGTCTGACCAAAGCCAATGAGGCCCAGCGTCTCCCCACGGATGTGGGCGGTTCCCGAGGCGACCTCGCGGATCTGCTCCACACTGCACCCGCGTGCCTTCCCGCAGCACCTGGTTCAGCCACGTGTTCCGCCGGTACAGGTTGAGGATGTGGCAGATGGTGGAGTCGGCCGTCTCCTCCACGATTGCAGACGGGATGTTGCACACAGCGATCCCGAGCTCGCCAGAAGCCTAGATGTCCACGTTGTTGTAGCCGCTGCCTATCCGCACGATCACTCTCAGGGCCTTGAATTTCTCCAGGTCCTCCCTGGTGAGAGTGATTGTGTGGTACATCATGGCACCCACGGCTTCGTTTAAAACCTTCTCATGAATCTCCTGAGTGGACTGGGCGTCACAGAAGGCCACGGTGGCAGGTCCTTCAGGATCGGCATCTCCACGGTGCAGTCGCGGCCGTCCAGCAGTGCCACCAGGGGGCGGGGGTGCAGGGGGCCGTTCATGATCTGGGGACGGATACCTTCACAGATTTTGTCCAATCGCTGTCTCTTGACTTTGTGCTTATCCACAGGGCCATTCTTTATGGAACTTTGCAACTCTCAGATTCAAAAGGCAAAGCAGTCTTCTAAGAACTTAGGGGAACTCGCAGGAGTCTGCGTGCATTACACCACTATGAACCCAATATAAATCTGTCCACAAACTCTATAGCTCACACGATGGGCTGTCCGCCTTTTTAAGAGAATACAGCTTCATTGGTTCAAAACGATTTAAGGTGATGAAACCCTCGTCCCGGGCAGCCGGCGTCCACAGCGAGAAGCGCCCACCCTGGAGGCAGCGGCGGTGGTGGCTCCCGCCCCTCCCACCTCACCTGGCAGCGGTGGCGGTGGCGGTGGCTGTGCGGCCCCCCCCCACCCCCAGCGTGGCATGACTCGCGGTTCGGTCCCTTGTTCCTCGGGCCGCCGCCGGCTCCTCCGGGCCGCTCCCGAGCCACCTTAAAATCGATAGAAAGTTTAAATAAGAAACATTTAGATAACCATCATCCCCTGCTCCTCTTCCCCATCCCACCTTAATCCTCATCCCAAGATGACCCAAGAAAATACCTGGTTTTTCATCATCCCAGCAGAAGATAGGAGATTTATTCTTTGGAGAAGTTGAACCACAAACACTCTGAATGCCAGGCATAGCTGAGGTTGGGACCTTGTTGAAAACATGACTGTTAAGAAAGCCTGTATGTTATATAATTAGCCCCTTGATCCACTACATTTCCAAAATGTTCTGAGCAGCGATAAGAGGAGTCCATTCTGGGGATTGACATTTGAGGGCTCACAAACAGAATAGCCACATTCCCTGCCTGATTACCTTATGCATACAAAGCTTCCAATTAGTTTTTTATTCCTTCTCTTTTCATATTAACAGGCAGTCAGCTATCAGCGGACTTTTTGAGAGAAATTTCTCACATAAAATACAGAGCCCAAAGCAATCAAGCAAATAACAAAAATCTGAGGAAGCAGAAACTCTGTGGGTTGCTGAAGAACATTTCCAAAAGAAAAAATCAATCCAACAGTAACATTGTCAGAGAAGATTTTGCATCCATTAAAGGAGAACAGGGTGCCATAAAAGTGAACAGGAAGAGAAGAAAGAGCTTTTGTGATTTACTTAGTTTTTTAATTTTTATTTTGAAGATGTGGGGCATAATTCAGGGTTAGCTATACAAATAGTCATCATACAGGTAAAGTTTGGACCTCACTTTGGTCCCCATGTCCCCTGGTTTGAGATCAGGTACCCTTATTGATGAAGTATCCCCCCCCCCCCGCTCCTTCCCCTGGCAGTTTCCTACTACTGCCAATCCCTTTCTTATAGTATTATGATAATTGTTCAGGGTCCACTTATGAGTGAAGCCTTTGTGATTTAATATATAAGTTATTTTTAAGAATCAGCAGAAAGCTAGAAAATGAAGTAGGTCAAATTGAAAGACAGAGATGGAAAATAGTAGATGAAGAGCAAGACAATTAGATACTCCAGAAGGCCAACTACTTGACTAGCAGGATTTTCAGAAACAGAATAGAGGAAAAGAAAGGAGGAAGTTATCAAATATCACAAAAACAATTTTTCCCAAAGTGAAGGGATGTGAGTTTTCATAATGAAAAGATCCAGTTCAGTGTAATAAAAGTACTCACATGATGACAAATTGTTCTAAAACATCAGAACACTAGAGATAAAGAAAAACCAAAAAAACTTCTTGATCTGGGGGAGAAGTGGGAGAGTGTAAACGTACAAAATGTAGGGATCTGAGTATCAGTGAATTTTCTGCCACACTGACGCTGGAAGATAATGAGGAATAACGTCAAAATTTTGAGAAGTGGTTTCCAACCCAGAATTTTATGCCTAGTCAAACTATCATTTAAAAGTGAGGGTAAAATAAACCCATATTGATCTATGCAAAGTCTCAAAATACTTTCTTGCCTTATGTGCTTTTCCAGGAAGCTGCTGAAGGATATGCTTCTCCAGAATAAGGGAAGAAACCAAGTGCCATACAGAATCCAGGAAACAATATCTCTAACACAAGAGAGTGGTGAAGGGAATTCCCACAGAAAGGAAAGCCTAAGGGAGAAGCTGTGCAGAAGACAGCAGCTAGTCTTAATTGGAGCAGGAGGAAGGAAGGGTCTAGGTGGTATGTAGCTAGGAAAAAATAACTGGACTTTGGACCATGGTGAGAGGAATTTATAGTTTTGTCTGATTTTTAGGGAAATAATTGATGATGGATATGTAGAAAACCTAGGAAAACAAAAATAGGCAATTCATAACTTCAGAAAAAACAGAAGACGGAAGAGAGGAATCCAAATCATGATATACTCTGATTTAGTTATTAATGGTATTTAAACAAAAATTATGTTGAGAGGATGAGGGGAAGGGAAGTGAGTGTGGGGTGTGGTATAACAGAGCTGCAGTTTTGTCTTCCATACTATAAAGTCTGAATCTGTCTACAGTGGAAAAACCTAGAAAATAGTGTTTTTTTATGTTTTGAGTTGAAGTCTCACTCCATCACCCAGGCTGGAGTGCAGTGGCATGCTGCTCACAGCCACCCCAGCATCAACCTGCTCACCTCAGGCGATCCTTCCACCTTAGCCTCCCAAGTAGCCGAAACTACAGGTGCGCGCTAATTTATTTATTTATTTTATTTTTTTATTGTAGAGATGCGGTCTCGCCAAGTTGCCCAGGCTGTTCTCAAACCCGTGGGCTCAGGCAATCCCCTCACCTCGGCAAAAATAGTAATTTAAGTGTTTTACTCAGAAATATGAAGACAAAACAAACGACTAAAGGAGAGATGGAAATGGTTGCCTTTAAGGAGCAGGATGCCAGGAGTGAGGGGTATTTCATTGTAAGCTCTGTACTGTTTGACCTTTACAATTATATAAATGTGTTATTTTTTATGAAAAGCACATACCACATTTAGGAAAAGGCAAATGTATTTTAGCAAAAGTAAGGGAAACCAGGGAGGAGGCACATTTGGATTAATGGTTAGAACATTAATGAAATAGGAAATGAGGCCATAATAGGCCTATATTACCTATGGCTCTTTACAGAGCAGTTTCCTATTGATCATCTCATTTCATCCTCCTAGAAATATAGGCAAGGTCAATATTATTGGAACGGAATTTGAAGCTGTAAGATCTTTTTGTTTCAAGCCCACTGTATCACCTGCCTTATAGGTGTCCACGTTTTCAGATTTTGTAATTTTTATTTTTTACCAGGAGAAGACAACAGGTACTAGAAGGCATCTTTCTTTGACATCATGGGAAAGAATATGTGAAAACACACATGCTAATGCATGTATGTATATAATGAGTATGTATGTATATTGGTACATTATAAGATGAGAAGAATGAAAAAACTGCTGTATAATGTTGATAGGCAAAGAGGTGCATGCTAAATGGATTTCCTTTGAAGGCAGTATATGAGATGGGCTAGGCTCTGGGTAGAATAGGAGTTCTGTAGTCTGATTTCCTTCCTTGCCCTACCCACCTCCTTGGATGAGTTTGACATAAACTAGCTGGATAGAATAAAAGGAACTTGAAGCATCAATAAATTAAACACGCTAATAAAGTGATCCACAATATATGACATGAGAAAGCCCTTTGCAAAGTAAAAAGCATATATTTATGTTAAGTTACCATGACTGGCTTCTTACAAAATGATTATATTGTCTTTAAACAAAATACAAAAGTATTTTCAGAGCACAACTTTAAACTCTGTGTCTATGAGCTTTCAACAAATGCTTATTAAATTGAATGGGTAAGACAGTATTTTGGGGAGAAAACAAAAGTTACAGCATTTAGACAGCATTATTTCTGAAATTTCTTCCAGAAAAACTGCAGAAACCTCCACTGCCAAACCATTTATTTATAGCTAGACAAAAAAATAAAGAAAGAAAAAAGAAGGCCATTTGTGGGTCTCTGTCTTTACTGGCCCCGGGGAGTGGAATCTGACTCAAGCCTTTTTTTATTTTTTAAAGTTTCTCTTTTTCATAACATAATATTTGTAGGAATCAAAATCATTCCTACTTAGGTTATGTTAACATTATGTACTGTTAACATCATCATATTGAGGATGTTAATTGTAACCTATAGAGCACTGGAAATAAAGTTAAAACAAAATTTAAATTCTGGTTCTGGCAATTAATTAGGTAATCTTAATCGGTCTGAACATCAGAAATATCCTCATCTTTGAATGAAGATGACACCAACATTATAGCAATCTGTTTAAGATCAGATGTATGTTATATTAATAATAAAAATAAAGCTTTTTAAGTTGTTACTGTGATGACTTCATACTCTTAGATCATTTTTTTCTCCCTGAGATAAAGAAGGAGGTAGCAAAAAAAAAGCATGGATTTTTGGGGTCCCTAGACCTTGGTTTTCTACTCTGTACAGTGAGATAATATTCCCTCATTAGAATTATAGTGAAAATTAGATACTACCACATCTAAAGTATGTAGAACTGTGCTTGGTAGAAACTCAGGAAAAGATTGCTACTTTTATATATAAGGTTGTTTTTAAAAATATATATTTTTCCCCTTCCCCTTTTAATATATTTTTATTTTTTATTTAATATATTTTTATATATTTTATATATAATATTGTTATTTCTTTGTCTCACAGAGGTCAGAGTCTCCCAGTGACTTCTGGGGCTTTCAGATCAGCGCATGCTCTCAGAGGAAAGACAATGGGTGAATGTAGAATGTCCTGGTGTGTTTTCTTCTGATTTCAGGGATCATAAATCCCTCAAGTTCTGCTTTGATGATTTGCTCCAGTTCTTTTAAACTGATGTTTTATATATCTTGCCATTTTTATAGTATGTTCTGCAGGAGGGTTAGTCCTATATAATTCTCAAACATTAAGGTATGTATAAATATTTAGATATACTTCATCAAAGAATAAGTCATTGTGGCTTACAGTTGAGAGCTTTAGTATAAAGTTTAGAGGTGGAAAGGAAATTTGAGGCCGAAGTGGTAAAGAGGGGGTCACTTTAATTAAACTTTAAGAATGAGTTTTTCTTGGGAGGAAAATAAAATTTTGGCAGATGGTATTTTCAGTTTCAAAGACCTGATGAAGAGAGGCCATTTATATACTTAAGGAATAAAAAGACCATATGATATGTAGTGATTGAAAGTATGTGCTTGAGACAAAGGCAGACGGGTTTGAATTCTAGCCCTCCCACTTATTAGCTGTGAGACCTGGGACAAGGTACCTTATTGTTCTTAGTCTCAATTGTCTTAACTCATAACACTGTCTCATATAATTATTGTGAGGATTAAATGAGCTAATGCAGATGAAGCTATTTGCATAGTGCTTAGCAAGCAGTAAGCACTCATCACATGTTTTCCTGGTACATCTGTCTTTCTG